GAATTTTATACGCACGACTATCTCTTTCTCTCGCCTTATATGTCTTTCTCTCGCCTTACATGCCTCCATACAAGCTTTTTAGTACAGCGAGATCTGATACTCCTTGAGTATGATCAAATTTTTTTACACCACAGGATATTTTACCGATGCAATTTCACACACGCATCTCCAATTTTATGTTCCAAAAGTCTACTCCTACACTTATATTTCTTAGGTTCACATTTATACATATGCAAGTGGTTTTTTATTTTTTATTCTCAGGCTTATCAAATACAACACATTTAAGGACTATTGTGGCATAAATTTATTACAGTACTAGGATACCAATATGGTTCTCATTACCTATATCTAAACTTAAAAAGAGCAATGTGGTTTATAACTGCTCTTCTGTGACTTGTATTCTTGGCCTACCAACGAGCCCGTTTCTTTCCGCCGTACAAAGCGCACGATCGTAAGACTCTTCTAGTAAAAAGCACTCTGAGGTCCGTTCATAATTTTCAACAATAACGTCGAATTCATTTCGTAAACTATTTAAATAAGTACATAGTATATGTAGATTGTTGATTAAAAACTGCTCCGTTGTGTATGATTCGGTGATTCTTGTTGTTAAAACACTCAATGTGCGAGTCACAATGAGTGCGACTTTGTTCAGTATTTCTTATTAAATCAACCAATTCACGAAAAAAGTTTTCTGTGTTAGGAAGCCAAATGCGTGGTCCAAGAGACGTCATTGTTGTATGCTGCCGCGTCGCTCAACTTCCGTTTTTCCAATTTGCTTCTGCTTCCTCATCTTTTATTGGTATTTATACTTCCGTTTCCTCATCTTTTATTGGTATTTACTTCCGTTTCCTCATCTTTTATTTGTATCGGTTTATCTTTTAGTTGTATCGGTTTATCATTTTGTTGTATCGGTTTATCTTTTAGTTGTATCGGTTTATGACATCGATGTATTTGCACATAACATCAATGTATAGCACATAACATCAATTTATAGCGCATAAACTCGATTGATACATTTCAGATCTTTTGTCCGCTAAAAAACTTCGCCGGATCCCCTATTGATATGTTAGAAGATGGAATCACGTGGGGCACCAAGTCAAATTTGGCCCTGGGTACCCAAATGTCCCTGGACAACTCTGCGTGTTGTGCAGTGTATGTTGGTTTTTGGCATTTTTGAATATCAATTGTAGCCTGTTTTGTTCATAGTTACACATTATAAAGTGTGTTCAGAAATTCATAGTTCAGGGCGTGCTTCTGCTCGGCTAAACTTTGCGCAAAAATGTGCAGTGATAAAAAATTCTTAAAATTAGGTATGGAATATCTCATTCGACCGATTACAATAAATATTGTTTGGCAGCTTACAAATAGTTACAATATCGCTGTCGGTTTTTCAAAAAAATTGATATGTTAATTTAAATCGCTGAAACAAGGCCTAAAAGAAATTAATATGAAACCGGTATTGACAGACAGGAGACAGACAGAGTGGTGTTATAATTTTTTAACAAAATAGTCTATTTTAAAAGCTACGTAACGAAAAGTTAAATACGAGTATACCACATAATTTCAAAGCGTCAGACTCTGTGTTTGTATAGATGTAGGATAGCTCCAAGCATGCATTATAAAATATGCTATGACAGACGAACAATTGAAACAGTCATAATCAGTCCAAATGGTGGAGAATGAAATATCTTCACGAGATTATTATGCAATGAAATGAAACAACACTCACTTTCATATCATCATACCTGCATCCGATAATATCTCCCTTCCTGAAATTTACTATCCCATTTCGATTAAACTGTTGTCTTGAAATAGCCCCGATCCATAGATACCATAGATTGATACTCACGATGATTTTTTTTCATTTCATCACAGCCTCAGACATGTTTCTGAACCGGTTTTTATCCCTTTAACAGTTTTAACTATTCGATAATATGACCACCAATAAATAGCAGCTTTTATACTTCATCCTATCGCGTTTACTTTTATCAAAAGCAGTTAAACAATGTGACATCTCCCTCGCGCTATATTAAATTATATATATTCTCCGAGTTTGTTTGTCCGAGTCCTCGTTATTTGATACACGTCGAATGCCACGTGTTTTGAGAGTCGGAAAGGTGGATTGTCAAATAAAGCGAAAGCTTTAATACCGATGAGAGTAATATAATAATGTAAGCCTACATTAATTCCTAATATTTCCAAAACGAACTACTACATAAATATTGTACAAAGAAGCCAGTTATACGGAGGTCAGTAAAATGTACGTTAACCTACTAGTACCACAACAATATCGCAAATATTATATATTCCTAAAATCCTAATTAATATCCTAAATTCCAACATTCCTAATTCAGACTGAATTCCTAAAACACGCAAGATAATAATGCACTGCTCACTAGCAATCTGAAACATCAAAGTTACCTTTTTGTAATAAGAAAACCCCAAGAAAAACGAAGAAACAAACGTATCTCCTTGATAAATCCATTTGAAGTTCAAAGCCTGTTACCTATGCCGTTCTGCTAGCATATAAGGAGAACTTTGGATACTTATAGATTTCAAATGAAACACAATATAAAGAAGTTACGAACTGCAAAAAGGATGTGAGCACTTGAGAAAAAAACGAGGTTGAGCGAACTTTCAATTTCCATTTTACAAACACGCCGTTTATTTCATCTTAAAATGTGGTTTAGATTTAACAAATATAAAACATTTTCCGTGTTGATATACAGTTATATCAACACGAGTGGAAATTGGGAAAACGAGAAATTGTGTGGAAACACGACGCCCGAAGAGCGGAGTGTTTTCACACAATTTCGAGTTTTGCCAATTTCCACGAGTGTTGATATAACTATATACTAGAAATACATGCATGCAATAACCCCTCGCCTGTTTTCAAAAGATATATACTCAGTGCCGTTGCGAGCACTTCGTCGCAGGGGGTGTGCGTGGTTAGATAGATGGAAGGGGGGGGTTACCAAAAAGTTTCCAGATGTACAAAAAATTTTCAGGACATATAATAATTTTTCCTAAAAAACAGTTGTTTTCCAAATTCACTTTCTCAGTCATGTCCTGAGAATTACCTGAATTCCCCTGAAAATCTTCTGCAAATTTACATAAATGTACGTAATAAAAGTGAACTGGAAATCTACCTGAAATTCATCATGAGCAATAATTAGGGGTGTTGCACCCCCCCCCCCCCAGTGAGTTCCAAGCAAACACTCTCTGATTTATATTGTTCGTGTATTTCGATCACCTCCCAAAATATTGTGCATCATACTATAGAACATTTTGCTGTTGTCATGCTCTAGCATGGTTCAAATTTATGAATTTTTATTATATAAAGTATAGTGTTTTACAGAGTTTTCGAGCACTGACAAAAATGATAATCTCAGATGTGAAATTATTCATGATAATTTCACATGTAAAAATTTATCGCCTTTTCAATTATCGCTTTTCTGTAAACATTATCGCTTTTCATTTAAGACTGTCCTTTATATAATAAACAGAAAAATACATGGGTGGTTGGAAATACCAGATTTATTTTTTGTGTTGAACATGACATCTCACTCGTTCCCTGCGCTCACTTGTTCGCTGCACACTCATGTTCAACACTCGAAATAAATCTGGTATTTCGTGCACCCATGTATTATTCTCTATTTAAACTACAGCTAGACTGGTTTAAATTATTATCAATTTATCAGTGATTGTGAAAGTTGGAGATAGAAGTGTTTTGTTTTATAAAATTATCAAATTGTCGGTGATCGCAAAACCTCCAAATCCTTAATTTCAAATGTTAGAATGTTAGGGTTAGAATGTTAGCGTTTGTAATATATACATTTTAAGAGAGAAAATATACATTTTAAGACCTAACCAGGAACGACTGCGAAAAATGCAGCACAAGGTCCTCTGGTAGGAATTGAACCTACGGCTCTGCCATTTCGGTGCAGCGCTCTAACCAACTGAGCTACAGAGGCCAGCTGTTGAGCTTTAACCGTAAGTTCATGTATATTTAAGTAATCGGGTGTGCGGGTTATAAGGTGGACTTCAATAATTTGGATTCTTGCACTTCACTTGGTGGACTTAATATTAGAATGTTAGGGTTTGTAATCCAAGTGAGAAAATATACATTTTAAGACCTAACCAGGAACGACTGCGAAAAATGCAGCACATGAGGTCCTCTGTTAGGAATTGAACCTACTGCCCTGCGATTCCAGTGCAGCGCTCTAACCAACTGAGTTACAGAGGCCAGCTGTTGAGCTTTAACCGTAAGTTCATGTATATTTAAGTAATCGGGTGTGCGGATTATGATAAGGTGGACTTCAATAATTTGGATTCTTGCACTTCACTTGGTGGACTTAGTATTAGAATGTTAGGGTTTGTAATCCAAGTGAGAATATATACATTTTAAGACCTAACCAGGAACGACTGCGAAAAATGCAGCACAAGGTCCTATGGAAGGAGGTGAACCTACGGCTCTGTGATTCCGGTGCAGCGCTCTAACCAACTGAGCTACAGAGGCCAGCTGTTGAGCTTTAACCGTAAGTTCATGTATATTTAAGTAATCGGGTGTGCGGGTTATGATAAGGTGGACTTCAATAATTTGGATTCTTGCACTTCACTTGGTGGACTTAATATTAGAATGTTAGGGTTTGTAATCCAAGTGAGAAAATATACATTTTAAGACCTAACCAGGATCGACTGCGAAAAATGCAGCACAAGGTCCTCTGGTAGGAATTGAACCTACGGCCCTGCGATTCCGGTGCAGCGCTCTAACCAACTGAGCTACAGCTCGGCCAGCTGTTGAGCTTTATAACCATAAGTTCATGTATATTTAGGTAATCGGGTGTGCGGGTTATGATAAGGTGGACTTCAATAATTTGGATTCTTGCACTTCACTTGTTGGGATTAATATTTGAATGTTAGGGTTTGTAATCCAAGTGAGAATATAATAATACATTTTAAGACCTAACAAGGAACGACTGCGAAAAATGCAGCACAAGGTCCTCTGGTAGGAATTGAACCTACGGCCCTGCGATTCCGGTGCAGCTCTCTAACCGACTGAGCTACAAGAGACCAGCTGTCGAGCTTTAACCGTAAGTTCAAGTATATTTAGGTAATCGGGTGTGCGGGTTGTGATAAGGTGGACTTCAATAATTTGGATTCTTGCACTTCACTTGGTGGAATTAAAATTAGAATGTTAGGGTTTGTAATCCAAGTGAGAATATATACATTTGCATATTCTCACTTGGATTACAAACTATTCTCATTTGGATTACAAAATATATACACCAAATATATACATGTACTATACCGGTACATTTGTATATTCTCACTTGGATTACAAAATATTCTCACTTGGATTACAAAATATATACATGTATATATTCTCACTTGGATTACAAACCCTAACATTCTAATATTAATTCCACAAGTGAAGTGCAAGAATCCAAATTATTAATTTCAAATGCCCCGCCGGGGCTAAGGTTCGAGTGGAAATGCCCAACCCCCGGGATGTGCTTTACAGGAAAATGGCTGGGCGAGGGGGATGGGCACACTTGGATTTGGGTGATGCATTAAAAGTCCTGTGCTTATTCCAGACTGCTTGTCAAATATTTACTTGCTAGAAGTAGAAATTTACTCTGACTGCTGGATGAAGAAGACATTAAATAAGTACTGGTCAATAAACAGAAATGTATTTTATTTCATAGTATTACAATTTTATTTTTATACTATAAAAATAAAATATAAACATGCAGCATAGAATATGCAAATTCGAGGCAAAATTATTGTTGAATCGGTTTATTTATAGGATTTATAACAAATAGCAACTATAAAAGTTTGTACCTTGTCTTCACATCGTAATAGCCAATGCTTTTAATTTTACATATTTTAGAATCAGTTCCTTTCCTGGTAACTGCATTTCTAAATGAAATCATCGTGAGTAGTGAGTGCTGAGCAGGCTGTTTTACTATAAACAAATTTTAGGAATTGTTAACAACTTTGAAAAATATATCGTTGCACATTCGGTCACAGTCGGAAAAATGTTCATAGTATGTTGTACCGTCGTTTGCAACTAACGATGAACAGTCGCTCATAAAAAATTCGCGTGATTAGAATCTTCAATGTTTGTCAAGAACAACAACACTTAATTGTTGTTTCCCATGTGTGCAATAAAAATAAGTAACAAAACTTTGTCTGAACTTGTTGGGCTAGAGACCTACTGGAAACTTTTACAGGCTTTTTAATGAGAATAGAGAATGTTTTATCTGCAACTGTTCACCCTTAGTTGCAACCGACGGTATTTGGCAGCATAAAATTGCCTGTGGCTGTGATAACTGATATAAATAAAATACAGTCTGGTTATACTGACTTGAGCGTGTCATGACAAACTCTTTATTGGAAAATTGTGAAGAAATAGTCGAATATAGAGGGTCGAATATCATACTTAAACTTGTATAGCTACAGTATTATTGGTACATAGCGTTGTGAAGACAAGCCTTTGCTTTAATACCTTTCGCTTCAGCAGTCTTTTTTTTCCATGCTTCTCTACGCTTTCCCAGGCGAGCTTCTCTTTCCTCAGCAGTCTCCTCGAGCAAACGTTGTCGTCTTCGCTGGCTCCCTCCTTTTCGCGAGACGTTCGGCTTTCTTGTCGTTTCCTTGCCGCTCTTCATTTCGCTCCATACAGTAGTCCATATCTTTTCAATTGGTATTTGATACCATAATTGTTTTATTAAACTCTTTATAGAGCAAATTGCTTTGAAAGCTGTCAAAGTTTTTTGCAAACGTACAAAATACTGCAGTGCAAAAAGCAAATTATTTTCATGAAGTATCTGTCAGTTGAAGTCGTGATTTGTCATACAACAAATTTTAAATTTGACCAATCAGTGTTCGCTATCCATGACAGTCCGCCATCTTTTTGAGATCAGTGAGGATGACCACCCACGCACAGTGACCCACGCCCGCGATATTTGATGAACTTTAGACTTGGCTAATGCTTTCGTTTCCCCGGGTGTAAATAGCCGGGGGGAATTAGTACCCTCGCACGGCGCTTCGCGCCGCCGGCTCGGGGATTATCAATTAATAAAATGCCTGGATTACAAATCTTCAACTCTATTAAATATATATATATATATATATATATATATATATATATATATATATATATATATATATATATATATATATATATATAGCTTAAGATTTTGGTTTACGAAACACAAACAGTGCTCAATACCATATAGATGTTTTCCTTGCCAAACCTCTTACCTAAGTGATTTAAAATGAAAAGGCCTACCAGCTCACAAATTTCTGCGCCGTCGAAACTACCCATAGTGACGTCAAATAAACTGTTGCTTCCGTCTTTTTTTGTCCATAATTTGCCGTTGCCGAAAAGTAGAGATTTTCTTGCATGTTTTATTATTGAAATATCGTTTTCGGTAATAGTAGTCAAATCCGAAGCCCAGGCCAATGCTTCATTTAAAAGTTTTTCGGAAATGGATGGGTAAAAATCCACAATATCAAATGAAATAAAACTGTGCCTGTCTTTATCGTTTATATTGCCAAACCATGAAATTACTTGTTGCGTAAATATTTCTCCATTGATTTGAATTTAGTTTTTGTCTCAAATTGGAATTGATTTTATCTAAAATAACCTTACTTAGTTTTCCGGATTGTTTTCGAAATTTTCTTTGTGATCTTTTAAAGATATAAATGCTTCGCGTTTTTTCATTCGTTCAATTCTGTCGCCAATTCCTAACCTACTCGAAATTTCTTTCAATTCGGAGTCAATTTCATGTATGAAGTCCTCTGATCCATGTTTGTACGTTTTCGTGATGTTATCATGTAAGAGTTCGTTATATGTGTTCAGTGACGTTTCGTAAATGTTTCTAGTTTTGTCCGCGAAAATGAAAATGTTGGGAGATGAATTAATTTTCTTCAAATCGTTAGCCAAAGATGTCTGAAATTGGTCTTTAGGACACCGGAATTTTACGTTTTCAATTAGTTTTATCAAGTCGTCTTCGAAAGGTTTCAAAAGTGGAATTGAAGGAGGCGATTTGTTAGACGAAAGGCCGAAAGGGTTGCTTTGGTTTTGATTCGTTGATCCTTTTAGGAAGAAATTAGCTTTCCATCTCATACGTTTTGTTACGCTTTCCACTTTTTCAATCAAATTCTTTAGGTAAGCATCCTGTGATGGTATAGGAATATTCTTTAGTGAATAATCGAATCGAAATTGTCGCATGTTTGAAGTAGAAATGAAATGAATAACGTAGACAAGAGTGCACAACCGATTACCGGGTGCAAATATATATATATATATATATATATATATATATATATATATATATATATATATATATATATATATATATATATATATATATATATATATATATATATATATATATATATATAACGCAACATAATTTGGTTCAACCCACCATTTAGTAAGAGTGTTAACACGAACATAGGACGGGAATTCTTAAGTTTAATTGACAAACACTTCCCACTACAGCACAAACTACACAAGATTTTTAACAGAAACACTTTAAAAGTAAGTTACAGTTGCTGCATGAACAACGTTAAGTCTATAATCACCAAACACAACGCACATATAATTAGGAACAGCCAATCACAGAATACGGAAACTGACAACTGTAACTGCGACAACAAAAACACTTGCCCACTACCGAAACAATGTATGACCAACAACATTATTTACAAAGCCACAGTCACAACGAACAACACGAACGACACTAAACACTACATTGGTATGACAGCAACTACATTCAAGGAACGTTACGCTAACCACACTTCATCTTTTCGTCATAAAAAAGACTCAAACAAAACGGAACTTTCGAAACATATTTGGAAATTAAAAGAAAACAACCAGGATTATACCATCAAATGGTCAATTTTAAAACACGCTATTTCGTACACAGGGGGATGAAAACGCTGCAATTTATGTTTGGAAGAAAAATTTTGCATTTTGAAAGACATAAACAAAGACAATTTACTCAATAAAAGAAGCGAAATTTTCGGCAAATGTCGTCACAAAAACCGGTTTCGAGCAAACAAGGTCGTTAACAAAACCTAATGACCCAAGCATGCTTTGTTTCGCCTAAGCATTGTTTCGCCTACACGCATTCCATATATATATATATATATATATATATATATATATATATATATATATATATATATATATATATATATATATATATATATATATATATATATATATATATATAGAATTTCGCTTACCTCAAACTTCCGCAACAGTCTGTTTCATCAGTAAAGAATCATCAGGCGGTATGACAAGTTTCGAAAAATAGGGCTGCTTATATGTGTTTTGGCCGGAACGTGGGGGGGTGTGGGTGAAACAAAGCATGCATTCATCTATTGTTTGCGTTGTTTACGCGGAAATGCCTAATCGAATTGTGGGAGTGTATTGTTTGCGTTGTTTACGCGAAATTTCTTCCTATGTCTGCACGTAGATATAATTTCCATTCTTTTATTGAGTAAACGGTTTTGGTTTTCTTTCACAATACAAAATTTTTCCTCTAAACATAAATTACATCGTTTTGATCCTCCCGTATACGAAATAGCGCGTTTCAAAATTTGCCAATTGATATTAAAATCTTTCTTGCTATCTTTCAATGTCCACATATATTTCGAAAGTTCAGTTTTGTTTGAGTGCTCTTTATGCTCGAAAGTATAGTTATGGTTAGCCAAACGCTCTTTAAATGTAGTTGATGTCATGCCAATATAATTCATGATCGTGTTAGGGTTGCTTGTTGTGACTGTTGCTTTGTATACTATGTCCTTAGTCATGCATTGTTTCTGAAGTGGGCATATTGTGTTTTTCGAACAACTGCAATTGACAGTGCCCTTGCCCTGTGCCTTGTTCTTCCTAGCTATATGTGCATTGTGCTTAGTGATTATAGAGATTCTTTACTGATGAAACAGACTGTTGCGGAATTTTGAGGTAAGCGAAATTCTACATTTGCTCTATCTTTATGATATTGAGCACTCTTTGCGTTTCGTATACACAAACCTACTCGTATATATATATA